GCTGGCTCGAAGCCAGATTTGATTATATCCAGCTCCACGTCAACTTGTTGCTAATAGTTTACGCATTTTTTTCATTCATGAAACTCTTAAACCTATCTTTGGGCCAATATATAAACATTTAGGAGTCAAACTTTCATTAAGGTCTATATAAGTAACCCAGATTCTACCATAATACGACACCACAAGAACAGAAACCGTAAAAAAATTATTTATCGACTCTAAGCTTTAAACATAACACATGTTCTAATTTTTCGTACAGTTACCATCTAAACTGAATCATTTCTTCAAAATACTCAACTCTCATCTATTACCAACTCCCACCCTTGATCCATTATTCAATGAACATAAGAAATGACAATTAAAAAGAAATTTTATTTCTCTCCTTCTGCTTCGAATGCTTAATTAAACTTTCATTGATTTTTATGAATTTTTCTTCGTCACATCAAGTGATAATGACATTTTCATTATTCTTGATTCCTCTTTTTTGCTATTTTTCCCTCCATTATTCACTTCTCACATTCGTTTCCTTATTGATTTCGATTTGAAGTTAATGAAAAGTCAACGTAAACGTGATTATCAGACATGATGCGATTTTTTTGCCATCTCTTTCGAAAATTGCTTCTTAATTTACTCGAAGCTGAAAACGAGAAGCTCACAGATATAATGTTTATGTAGATTGACAGCGATGGATATGGGGTAGACATTTTCATATCATATTATTGATTGATGTACAGGAAATTTAATTTCTTATCGATATGTTATTTTTCTATTACATGCTTTGGGAGATTAGAAATGAATTTTAATGTCTCGTATTTTAATGTTTCTGTTTCCTTATCACTCATTTCTGTGGAAGTATGAATTGCTCATGGGCGAAATTTTGTGACATGAAAATGTCACTTTTGTGGCAGATGTGGGAATCTTCATCATGATTGTTGAAATTGTTTAATTTTTGATAATTTTTTTTGAAAAGAAATGAGAAGTTTGAGTGATTTAGATGGTCATTTGGTTTGGGGATGGAGTAGATTATGATGGATGCACTGTTAATTCTAGAATTCGGTTAAGAAATTATTTTAAACAAAATCCTAAAGTTGATATTAAGCAACGTGTCTCAGTAGGGAATCGATCTCGCGCTTTTACAAGTTTTCAAACATCTGCTGAATCAGAGTCATAACTTAGCCAAATCACAAGGTTACATCTGGCACTAAACTCTATTAAACCCTTTCAACTCTACTCATTTGTCATTGCATTCAACCATTTTCACCAAAAAAAAAAATATTTCATCAAAAAATAATCCAAAATAAAACTCAATTTTCACTTAAGGTCCTTACGACCACCCCAATTCATCGCACACAACAATGATAAATAAGAAGCTTACAACAAGCCTTTCTTGCTGTAAATAATTTATAAGTCATTCTGTAAAAATTGTTTAAATAGAAATCGATAGAAGATTCCAGACCGTCTTTAGCACAACATATTTCTCACCCCATTCACATCTCATCATCGCATTCGAATGAAATGAACTTATTCTTTCAGACAATTTATCTTTTGCTCCATTTTTTTTTGTGTGTATGTCAGTCGGTGACTTGAATGTACAACAAAAGAGTGAAAGCGATAGACTGAAAAATTCTAAAAAAACACGCATTTTGGCATTTGATACCAAAAAAATAGTGGAGAAGTGGAGATTACATTCATTCCATTATAAAGCATTGCAGGATGTGAAAAAATGTGTTTTTATGGCATGAAAAAAATAAATAAATATAAATTCTATTTGTCTCGATAATGGCATTTCAGAGGATGAGAAAAATTATCGTGTGTATAAAATTCATATATGCCAGCAGAATACATTTTTGTGGCAGTCTGTTAGCTGTGAAATTCAATTTTCAGATCATTTTTCTTCTTTTACGGCTTCCGCAAATCAGAAATTTGTAAATTATTGCATGACTTTCTCGTTTGTCATGCATTCATGTGTGTAGAATGAGATGAAGATGTTGAGGAGTTTTTGTGGAAATGATTTTTGATTGGATTATTTTTTTGGTTATCTATTGTTGTCCCTTGGTTAGGTTTCTCATCTTGATAAGTTCATAAAATCATAAATCAAATTATGAACACTCTGGAGATGCATCCTAGAGACATTAATACTTAAATTAGTGTGCTTCTGAGGGTCAGGAATTGTCGGGGGTTAGGCTGTGTATATCTAGTTGTTGGCATCTTGTTTAAGGTTAGAAGAGACCAACTTGAAGCTAATATTGACTAATTTCAAATCACTCACTGTCTTTTGATTGTTTCAACTGATTTTATAGACATTTTAATTCCAAATGATGCTTAAGCTTAACAAACGAAGCTTTTTAAAAATATTTCAAATTTACATAACCTCCAAAAAAATCAAACTTCGCGCACACCTCACAATAAAAAGTTATTCCATTATTTCCTGATATTCAGTAATTTCCTGCCTTATTCATCGTTTCCCCTAATTTTTTAACACAAATTTCCATTTCTTACAATTTCTTTTTCCACATTTATAGCAATTGAAATGTTGCTAACTGATGAATATTCTATCCTAAACACATGAAGCCTGCAATGTTGTTAAAGCAATGTTTATTAAGAGTTTACTTTCGTTCAAGTCGTATTCTACCTCTCACATGCTTCTTTATTTCCATTTCTACTTCAATTTCAACTGCCTTCGAGGTTGCCTTTTTTTCTCTACATCCATATATGTGTACATTAAACTAACGATGTGTATAATGAAGGAGGAAAATGAGAATAAGTGAGTGAGTAGGAAAGGAAAAAACAATCAGAAATGAAATCAAGGGAAAAGAGAAAATTGAATACCGGAAGCAAAAGGAATCATTTTATTAGATGATGTTTCAAGTTCTAATACTTTTTCTACATTGAATTACACTATTTCATGTTTATTAATGTATGGTTTGTGCATTAGTTGAGTTGTGAAGCTTGGAGTAAGTTTATTTTTGTGTGGAATTGAATAGTGAGCTTTTGAAAGAGTTTATAAGAAGTAAACTAGGGAAGACTAAAAGATTCTATACTTTTTAAAATACCCTCTTGGTCTACCCTCAAGATTTCTGCAAAATGTTACCTAGGAACCCCTTTAATAGTAAACATTAATTAAATTTTCTACTTCACTTCCAATTCCTTCTCTACATGACTTGATTTTCCCATAAAAACTCTTTCCACACATTCAGTTTCTCAGAAATCCTTTAATTAAAATCTGTTAAAATTTTCCTACATCAACTTTTTTGTTTACCGACAATTTTTTTTTGAATCTTCTAGAAATTCATCAAAATGTATCGAAAATCAATATCAATATTGACATTTCTTTGCCTTCAAACTCTTCTCAACTCATCTCGATTTTTTTACACAAGATAAAATAAAAATATCAAAAACTTTCTTGTGCGCAGTAAAATATTATTGAAGTAATTCTGATTTTATTTACGACTTTACCATCAAAATAATGTGCTATAAATTCCCAGTTGATGAAAATAAATATTTTTGATGGAAGGCTTGAGCTTCCAGGTTCTTGACATTGCCACAAAGTCTGTTTTATGTGTCAGAAAATCATTTTATTTTTGCTGGGATTTATTCGACAGTTAGAGATACAATTTATGATTTTTATAAATCATTGCTAGGTTTCAAGAACAACTCAAGATACCTAAACTTAGAATTCTGTATTCTTTGCTAAAAAGGATGACGTAATATGTGAATAACCCCCAAAATTTTTGAAAAATTTCATTTCATACATCCTTTCATCCTCAAAACTCAATTTCCGCGAAGCTTCTCACTACGCACACTGCATGCATCAATCATATTTATTAAACTTTCATGAGTCAACACCTTCACATAAATTTATTTATTTTTTGATGTTGAACGAGCTTTTAGCGCAATCATAAAACCGACATCATTATAAATTTAATATCATAAATTTCGTATGTTCATCTTGAATGAATTTATGAACGACATCACCAAATAGATTTTGTGGCATTTGATTTCAAATACATTTTTAATGCTGTGAGGGAGAAAATTTTCGAGAAATTATGATAATTTTGAGGAGAAAATTGTGTTAATTTTTGAAAATTTTATTTATTGGTTCTTGATGTTATTTGCCGATGTGGGAGATTCTTGATTCAAATTATGATAGAGTTTGATAATTTTCGATGATTGTTTGTTGAATTTATTTGTGTTGGTTTTTATGAGTCAGTTGACTAGCAAGGAAAAGGTTGAAAAGGGGAATTGTGGTTAAGCTTTTAAAGATATCTGAAAAGATAAATCTAGACGAAAGTCAGATCAGCTCTCCTTAGTTGTCATGTCTACACCAGAGTATTCTTAGCAACTAGCAACTCAAGAGTCATATGAATCAACCACAGAAGACTATTAAGTATAAGTCATTTTTCTGGGCAGGTCAGTTCAGTTTAGATAAGAGTCAAAACTCAGATTTAATCCATTGTTCAAATGTAAGGTTCGATTTCTTGAACAGTGATTTGAACTAGTATTATTTGGTTTATAAGTCAAATAGAATTGACTTCAATTTAGAACAAGGTCGAAAAATTTGGGTTAAATGGGTTTATACTCAAATTTAATTTGTTTCATCCTTAAAGAGCCTCATTATCTAGTCCAAAAAATCATAATTTATTTCAAAATTTAAATTTTATGCTCTGCAAAAAAAAAAATTCTCTCTTTTCGAAATTTAAGTTTGATTAGTGACGGGATCACAAAGAAATATTGTTCAAAAATGAAAGAGAAACACACAATATATAAAAATGATGAAAGCAAAGCTCATTTACATAGGCCCAAAAGAATTTGCTTTTAACTTTATTTTATATTTTCTCCATCAACCCATTTTCTTTTTGAATTATTCAAAAATTAGTTCCAATTATTCAAATTATTCACTCCATCAACCCCGCCCTATATTTCATACCCTTGTCATAGGATATATTCATTCATTAATTCAACTCTTTTTCTTTCTTTTTTGTCTCATTTTATATTTACAGGCAATGTTAGTGTGTAAAAGTGTATATTTCTTATTCACAATATTAGTATTCAGAACTAGTTGTGTGAATGGAAGTAATCAGCTTCATATAGGTGGTATTTTTCCAATAGCCGGAAAAGGTGGCTGGCAGGGCGGGCAAGGTAAGTCTTTGTGTCAATTCGTATGGGATTTATGACGTAGACAAGTTACGTTTCATGTTTTTTTTCCTTGCCATAAACTTTATGATTATCCTATGAAATGGAAAAAGTTTCATTTAGGAGAGGAAATTAGATTTTGGTGAAGTTTGTCTGAATTTACGAATTATTGAAACTAATTACAAATTTTAGAAGTTAATCAGACTAACGTCACGTTAAAAATTGTCAGTTACAGAAGTTTTACCGATTTTTTTTAAATATTTTGAATCTTTTTTAACCGTTGGAAAAAAACTTTATTCAACATAATTCGAAGCTTTTAACTGTTTAGTTCTTTAAAATAAATAATCTTTGACATATTTTTAATGTTTTTGAACTGAAAATGCTTAATTAAATGCAAGAATTGATGATTTTAAAAAATTTCAGAACAAAAATATCAAAAGTAAACAAAAGTTGTAAATGTGTTAGTGAATTTTTTCACGAATTATAAATTTGTTAATTAATTGTTAATTGAGGCTCTTTTTTCTAATGTGAACTATTTAATAGTGATGAAACATAATTAAGATTATGTTAATTTAGTTAAATCATTGTTAAAAGAAGCTTAAATCATTGATTTTGATTTTAAATTTTTTGATTTGTTTACATTTTTCTTAACGGTCAATAAAAATTCAAATTTTCATCTCAAATTACGAAGTTTTCGACATTAATTTCGAAGACATTTCGAATTTTTTCGAATATAAGGTGGCGTAAGTCTGAAGTTAATGTCGAACTTTCGTATCGAATTTTGAATTTTTGAAGCTTATTTCGAACATTTAGATCGTATATTGAATTTTTAAAGCTAATTTCGAATTTTTGAAGCCTATTTCGAATTTTTTGAAGCTAATTTCGAACTTTCGGATCAAATTTCGATTTTTGAAGCTTATTTCGAACTTTTAGATCTAATTTTGAATTTTTAAAGCTAGTTTCGAATTTTTGAAGCCAATTTCAAGTGTTTGGATTTAATTTCGAAGTTTTGAAGCTTATTTCGAATATCGATGCTAATTTCGAAATTTTTAAAGCTAATTTAATTTTTTTGAAATTAGTTTCGAACTTTCGGACCAAATTTCGATTTTTGAGATCTAATTTTGAATTTTTAAAGCTAATTTCAAATTTTTGAAGCCAATTTCAAGTTTTTGGATTTAATTGCGAAGTTTTGAAGCTTATTTCGAATATCGATGCTAATTTCGAAATTTTTAAAGCTAATTTAATTTTTTTGAAATTAGTTTCGAACTTTCGGATCAAATTTCGATTTTTGAGATCTAATTTTGAATTTTTAAAGCTAATTTCGAATTTTTGAAGCCAATTTTGAGTTTTTTGATTTAATTGCGAAGTTTTGAAGCTTATTTCGAATATTGATGCTAATTTCGAAATTTTTAAAGCTAATTTAAATTTTTTGAAGTTAATTTCGAACTTTCGTATCAAATTTCGATTTTTAAGATCTAATTTTGAATTTTTAAAGCTAATTTCGAATTTTTGAAGCCAATTTCAAGTTTTTGGATTTAATTGCGAAGTTTTGAAGCTTATTTCGAATATCGATGCTAATTTCGAAATTTTTAAAGCTAATTTTATTTTTTTGAAATTAGTTTCGAACTTTCGGATCAAATTTCGATTTTTGAGATCTAATTTTGAATTTTTAAAGCAAATTTCGAATTTTTGAAGCCAATTTCAAGTTTTTGGATTTAATTGCGAAGTTTTGAAGCTTATTTCGAATATCGATGCTAATTTCGAAATTTTTAAAGCTAATTTAAATTTTTTGAAGTAAATTTCGAACTTTCGTATCAAATATCAAATTTTTGAAGCTAATTTCGAATTTTTGAAGTTTATTTCAAAATTCTTTAGATTTTCAAGCCATCTTCACACAAATCCCTAATTTCCTCATTCCTTCAACTTGATTACGCACATATACAACAACCTTATTACGTAAAAAAGCCAAAATCTCTTAATTAATTTGCATTCATTCTTTTCTTTCTTTTTTCTTTCCTTCAACACGCCTACCTTAAAAAAAATTACGCACATGTCTACATAAACAGCCTGTATGCCAGCTGCATACCTAGCTCTAGAAGATGTCAATAAGAGAAAAGATTTACTGCCAGGTTTTGAGCTCACACTACATAACAATGATTCCGAGGTAAGTCAATGAAATGTTAAATAAACCCCCACAAAAAAAAAAATTAATTAAAAATCGACAAAATGAATGAGAATGTTGCTGTATGTAGAGGGCATACACACATAAAATTTTGTTTACATACGAACAACATAAACCGAAAATTTTTGCCGATGGGTGAAAATTTATGCGAAATTATTTAATGTGAAACGATAAGCAAACATTAAAACTGTATTTAATGCTCGTAGAGATGGAGAAAGGCTATAAATATAAAAGGCAAAATATTAATTTTCTCCATATTTATGCATTGTAAAAGTTATTTCAATATACATGTAAATTCCATCCCGTAAACACATAAATGGATATGTGTAGCACTGCCAAAAATTAAAATATGTTTGGTTTGGATTTAAACATTGGGAATATCTTGGAAATTAAAATTTTATAATTTTATAAACTCGCATATAATCCTTACAAATAATAAACAACTTTCAACTATCCTTTGTCTGTAATTTGTACTTGGATGTTTTCTTTCTGGCTTAATACTTTAAGTTTTTGTTGTGACTGCCTCAATATTGTGTATTGCATTTTAATTTATTGGATTGAGATCTTGTTAGTTTTTGGAGAGATTATGTGTAGTTTATGTAATTGATGGGATTGCATTGCAATTGAGCTTGGTTATTAATTGGATTTGACATTCAATTGGGCCAATATAGGTTGAACATGGTCATATTACAGAAGTTGTGAGTTGAATTGCTTTAATGCTGCAGTGGAAACGATATCTGTATACAAAGCGTCAATTTTAAGGATGAATTTTTGGCAATACTAGATTTTTTGAACAAGTCGAAGCGTAGACTCAACTTAGTTAACTTATGACATCCATCAAAAAAATTAACAGACTCATCTGCCATTTATCATAAAATGTAATAAAGTATTAGACTCGCTCTTCAAAACTATCACATGAGCTTGGACATCAAACATAAATGATCCCAAATGGCTTAGTCTTTAAAGGCAATGTTTCTTAAACTATGCTTTTGCGGAGCAAGCCAGTCTAGTATTACATCGGCTTGTTGCCAGATTGAACAAGGACTAAAATAGAATACAGCACCATGCTAGAGTTACGCAAGCTTGGTACCGGATTTCTATTCGATTAACCGACTTGTGCTATTCTGGCAATAAGATAAAAAACTTCAAAAAACCAGCACAACCCCTAAATCTCCACCAAATTAATACTTGCAAGGTTTTCCTTTCACTTTACTCATAAATATGGATGCTACATTGCGTACTGATAACATCAAGAAGAAATGAAATTTCTTTCTTGTTTTATTTCTCAAGCGATTAATTAATTAACAAGTAATTAGAAATTAAAAAGAAAGAAAGCAAAAAGAAGTCGCATTTGAGTGAGTTTTTCATTTGGTTATGGTAATTAAAATACTTTGAGAGTAGCTTTTTTTTGTGAGTCGCAAGCTACACGAAATGAATTTTTGGAGGGAATTAAAAGTCTCATTAAAGGTGAAATATCAATCCCTAGTGGAGGATGATTTGTGGGTATGTAGAAGTAAGTAATCCCCACTTAGGTTATTAATATAAATTTTACTTCAATGAAAGGATGTATCTTACTCCACTTCCCCTTCAATCCATCTTCTCAGAATGTTAAAGAATCCTATTTTTACGTCATTCAACATTTGCAGTTAATTATTAACTTTTTTATGAATTACAATCCTTATAAAAACTTTTTAATTGTGCTAAGCCTTGAGAAAGAGTACTTAATTCTACAATAAAGGGTTTTCCCTCTTTTTTGATGAACTCTTTGACTGAACATTTTTGTTCAAAAAAAGTTTATTTAATTTTTGCCTCAAGTATTGTTGATCAATTTTTTCTCGTTCTTATTCTTACGTTTTTTTCGTCTCTGTTTGATGCTTTTTTATTTTGTTTATTTTGTACAATCTATAATTTTCGTGGATAGTGAGAAAAATGGAGGTTTAGAGGTAAAGATGGATAAACCCCAAGTTCTCAAGCTAATCTTCTAAACTGGAAGAGACTTGACAAGAGCCATAGACATCTAGATATCTTAATAAACATTCAATTATGATGTTTGATTTTCTTTTAATTGATTAAAGAAACCATTCAAAAAGCTCCTTAGAACAAGTACAATACAAGACATGCTTGTCAAAAGCTTCCAGGAAATCCATTAAAACTCATAAAAAAGCTAAATTATTCAAATTTACCGTGTCATTCTTAGCAAACTTTTCTTTCTAGTAAGTTATGATAATCAACGCTACTTGTCTCTTTCACATTCATGTATGTGTGCGTATGGAAATTGGGAAATGGAAGAAGTGGAAATAAACAGTAAACATTATTTTCGTGTTTGCCTTTCGTTCTCGTTAATTATTCTTTCTTTTTTTTACTCGTCGTTTCTCCCCCACGGTTTTGTATTCTTTCATTCTCATTCTAATTATTGCGTTACTCAAAAAGCTTTCATTCATTCATTCATTCATTCGCTTATTTATGTAATGCAAAAGTTTAATGAAGAATTCTTTTTCTGTTCATTAAATAGCAGATGGGAAAATAAAGTGAACGGGAGGGTATGGATGAGGCTTGATGGAATGTATGAATGGGTATGAATTAACAAGAATGATCAGAAAAATATGGATTGAAGTAGAAACTATTAAATCTTTGAAAATTCAATTTCGAAAGTTAACTTTTCAATTTCGAAAATCAAATTTTCAATTTGGAAAGTTAAAAACTTTCATTTTCAAATGTTAAAAGTATCAATTTTAAAAGTTAAGGTTTCAATTTTAGAAGTAGAATTTTTAATTTCGAAAATTTAAAATGACAGTTTCGAATGTTGAATATTTTAATTGCCAAAATTTAACATTTTAATTTAAAACGCTACAAATTTCAATTTCGAAAGTTAAATTTTTAAATTTCGAAAGTTAAAAATCTCATTTTCGAAAGTTAAAAAATTCAATTTTGAAAGTTAAATTTTTAATTTTGATGTTTTGAACTTCTTTAAAGAAATTTTCAATTTTTGAAATTAAACTTTCTAAAGTTCAAGTCATTCACTCAAAAGTCAAAATGATTCACAAATTCCTTTACAAAATTTTTTATTCAACTTACCTAGAATGATGAGTAAACGATGGCGGTTCCGTTAATTAAATCGAAGATTATAAGATAAGCGTTTATACTTCCTTAATACCATGTTAAACTGAAACCAAAATGCCATTGGAATGTAGAACAAAAATATTTATGCAATGCAGTCACCCTTCAGGATAAAACCCAGAGATCGAAGCCGATTTTTTCGGCTTAACTCAATTTTTGATTATTTTGATAGAAAAAAGCCATTTAACACCCATTTTAAGTATTTAAATTGAACTTTACATGCTTTACTATGATTCTGTGAAATATTTTTTCAGCATGTAGCTATAGTAAGCTCTGAATTTCAATTTAGCCGATTTTAAGCCGATCGGCTTAAATTTCGGCTTAACATTCTTTAACTTGAAATTCTAAGCTCACTATAGCTACATGCTGAAAAAATATTTCACAGAATCATAGTAAAGCATGTAAAGTTCAATTTAAATACTTAAAATGGGTGTTAAATGGCTTTTTCTATCAAAAAAAAAATCAAAAATTGAGTTAAGCCGAAAAAATCGGCTTCGATCTCTGCACTATGGGGCAAAATGAAAAAAAAAGGGACTTTCACTTTGAAAAATGGACTTTTCCGATTTACACTTTTTGGGTGATTTTTTCTTGTAGAGGACATAAAAGTAGATAGAAATGCCAAATTTCAGGTCATTTGGTGCTGATTTCGCGATTCTAGAGCTGTTTGAAGTTGAAAACTAGTGAAAATTCTGGTTTTTTCATACCATGTTTGAACCGGGAAATATCTTAACTGGTTTAAGATATTGCAAAACGGTTTTCAGTTCCTATTAGTAGTATATAAGAGCTTTATTTTGACATATAACAAAGTTTAGGTTCTGAATGTTTTCGTGCCATTATGGTAGAACATATGTGAAAATTTCAGGAAAATTATCTTCAAACAAGCCGCAACTATCATAAATGAAGAGTTTCCAGGCAAGTAAAAACGCAGTTTTGTAGCCCCATATATCTAGTTTTCAAAACTGTATAAACTTTGAAAAAGTAAGCTAACGTAATTGAGTTATGTTGATTTTAGTAGGTCGTTGAGTATTTGGCCAAAAACTAATAATTCTTTTAAAAATACGAAAACATAGTTTTAAAAATAGTTTTTTTGTGTTTTCTTATGAAAAATAACAATTTAAATGATTTTGTGAAGAAAATTTTTCAAAAACTTCAAAATCTTTCGAGATATAGGGGGTATGTGCTCTCCATCGATTTGGCCATTTGTCACCCTACTTAAACCACTATAACTTTTTTTTGAAAAAATATTTTTTAATTCTGTTTTCGGATTATTGTAGCCTAATGTAATACCTATCCAACGATATATAATACTTGCTAGTTAACTTAGTCCTGGTTATTTATAGGGCTGTTGATTGTGACATACGCAGTTTTTGAAAAATTCCCAAAAATTGCATTTTCAAAAATACCACTTTTAAGCAATCTCGAGTATTTTTTGGACTTTTTTAAGAAATGTTAAGTCTGAAAAAAGCTATTATCATTAGAGTAATAAAAAAAATACTCTGATACGCAACTATAATAGGTAAAATTAATAAAGTTTAATTTTTAGTTTAATGAAATTTTGTTTATTTGTCAAGAAATTTAATTTACATTTTTTTATCATATTTAATGAAATTTATTTATTCATTCGTTGTTTGCTTCTTCAGAATATTCATGGTCTTGTCCTTCGGAATAATCATAGTTTTCTGCTTGGGAAAAGTCATAACCTTCTCCTTCTGGCTCAATCAATTCAATTTCTTCCTCATCTTTTTCCTCATTTTCTGTTTGTTGCTCAGGTGTTTCACCTTCTTCTTGGACATTTTTTCTCATTAACCTTTTATTTATTACATCCATATATTTTTTTATTATTACTGGATCAGAACTGTAGAGTC